AAAAAAAATCTCTTTTTATAAAGACACATGAGCTTCCAGAGTGGTCAGCTGGAATCTGTCCTTTATTCTCTTTACACTACTACTCCATCTTCTCCCCCACTGTGGTACCTGTGTGTGGAGGTGTTAACATTTGAGGCTTGTAACCAGGCAGTTTTGGTGTTCACACCCAAAAAATCCAGAAAATTACCAGCAGTTTTCACACACACTCCTTGCCCCGTGTTTATTTCTTCTCCTTTTAAGAAGTAGCCACATAGTGTGTTAAGAAAAGCATCTCCCAAAGTACAGCCCAGCTGACATTCCCTCTCTGAAGCTGGTTAGGCATCTCTGCTAYCACAGTGATTGCTGCATCTTTTTGCTCTCTCCRTGGCATCAAGAACARCAACARGGATGTTGCTAAATTTCATGCAGAYGTGTTTTCTMATGGGGTCCATTGGTAGCTTRTGCTGCTGCTCTGYCAGAGACTTCTATACCARGAGGAAGAAAGGGTCTGAAAATGATAGAGGTCATTATGTCCCAATTTCTGAATGCTGTGGCAAATCTGCATGGTGCTAACCCTACTAAAATCCCCAGGAATTAGCAAAATTCTATTTGTCCCTATTTTAAAGATGTAGAACCTAGGCACATAGCAAGATCAAGTGACTTGCCAAGCCATGACAGATGTCCCCAGCCTGAGAAGTGGGTTCTCTTGATCCTTGTTGCCACAGTATGATGCTTTTCTCATGTAGCATCCTGCACAGCTGGGGTGACACAGGATTTCATGCACCAGTAACTTGTAAGCAATACATGGGGGCACACATTTTTGAGAGAAAAGTTTTAGTGCTATACTTTTGTACTTTTCTTCTTTTTATCATGATGCAAAATCACGCCTTTATTATTTTTCATTTTAAGTGCGTGCAGCTTTTTGTGGTGCTAAAGAGGCATGGACYCATCGGGTTTGTGTGTGTAAGGGGGAGTGGGTGTAGCAGGATGGCTGCAACYCTGCATGCAGTCAGATGGTAAACTCCCTGCTTTAATCAGTGGGACAAGAATTGAAGTGCCTCCTGAGCACAGCAGCAAAAGGCTTTCTGCACAGCAGTGGAAATGGCTAGCACTTTTCTTTGAGAAAAGRAAGAGAAAGGCAGAGCATGCACTACAAAATAACCTTCCCCACCAGGCTGCTGCCTTGGGTAGTGCTCGGAATTGCGGRAAGTGGAAACACCCCTTCTGAACTGGAAGACTTCCCAGAGAGAGGTTACCTGTTTTTCACCTGACCAGTTTGGAGGATCTCACCAACTTTGCAAAKAAATTGGAAAAAACAAAAAAGAGGGGGTGGGAGTGCAGCCAGCTGATGGTTTGCAGTGGATGCTGCAGGCTGATATGCAGCKGGGCTGACTCTTATCACTCATATAGCTCTCTTAATTGCTGAAATTGTCTCCAGTATAGTGCAACTCCTCAACTCAGGACTRCAGGTACAAATAAGACCTAAGTGTGAAGGAAGACAGGTGGTGCTATAGACTATTTTTCTTGTGGCAAAATATCAATTTCTGTAAATATAGGGAAAAAATAACCTGACAAGTGTAAATTTATCCTAGGAATAGCTTCTAGCTCATGCTCCCCATTAAAAAAAAAAAAAAAAGGTGAATAAATGTAGCAATGCTTTGTGACTGAAATGTCCATGCTACTCAGGAGTGCAGAGTTTGTCTAGCAACTCCTTCATGCTGGAAAGACTGCACATAGGTTGAGCTTTACATAGCAGGTATGGCTGCAAGACCCATAATCCCAGGTGAGGAATGACGAGTTGAGTTCTTTCTGGGAGTCAGCCATGACCTGTGTTGSCAACCAAGAGCCAGAGTGAAGGAGAGAGCTCCGTTCAACTCACCAGCAAAGATCTTTGCACAATGCAATAATGAGGGTCACTTAAGTGGTTTTATCACAGTATTTGGTGTATAGCTAAACCCAAGGGATGAAGTTGAGTATTGCAGAGCTGCAGGGCTTTTGTCAAGCAAATCTGCACAGAACTGGGGCCTTCCATAGATGTGTTTGTTGGAATATCACCTTGGCAACCTGCAGCAAGCCTTGGCTTAGACCACTGCTCCCCATCATCCACAGCAGGTTTCTAAAAGACCAAACTGTAAACCTTTTAGCTGTCATCACTTTGTACCTTTGATATTTGTAGACTAAGAGAAAATATATTTTAAAGCMATACTATTATAATAATTTCATTTTCCTTCCCTAACCTGTAGACACTTTCATTAAAAACAAAAGCAGAACACTACGTTGTTCATCACGTGTTCATATGGATAGGTTTTACTTCAGAATAAATAGCACTTAGCAGTGTATTAGTTCTTTTTTCAAATCTCATGTGGACTTAATTTCCCCTACAAACTAAAAATAAAATTCATCTCGGTATCTGACTCTAGAATTATAGATGTTAATGTATTTTTKGCTAATAGCGATTATGAATCTCTTTGAGTTTTCTGGGACTTTTTTGGGTTTTGAATTGGATGTGAGATAAAAAGGAAGGCAGGATTGTAGTTGGCAGAGAATATATTTTAGATCATTGGTTATCTCAAAAAGACAAGATGTAATTTATTTTAAAGGAGTTTTCAGAATTTAAAATGATCCATCAAAAGGCAATAGAAGTTTAAATTTGCATTTAAAAATCTGCAGGAGAAATTGATGGCAGTTCAGCCTAAAGGCAGAATGGCCTTGCTAAAACCCTAAGTAGATAAAACAGGAGAATAATATCCCATTTCAGAGATATATTCATATATTTAATGATGTTACCCTGCACAAAGTCCATAGTATTTTATTGCAGAGAGTAGCTTGGAGCAATGAAAATAACATTCAGAGTCTCATTAGAAAGCCTTTACCATATGGCCAGTTTTGTCTTCTGTGCATCCTACACCAACTCACCACCCTGTTACGTGTTTGTTTTACATGCTGAGATCTGTAAAGGCTGAAGGAGATTTCCAATTGATTTTTCAATACCGTGAAGGTATCTTTCCAAATATTTRAGAGTTGCTACAGAATTCTGACCTATATCAACCACTGATAATGATTTGTTTTTAAGTAGACAGCATTTATAATCAGGAYTGTGTGAAGTAAACAGAAAGAACTGCAGCAACTGGACTTCTAGAGAACTTCTGTAGACCACCCCCACACATGAAAATGACTGATGGTTTATATAGGTCAGCATGCAATAACCTGTTGATCTCTGCATTTTATGTGATGGTGCATTATAGAAACACCTTTTAACACCTCATAATGAAGAGCTGTAACTGCCCACTTCCATGTAATCATAAACACTTAAAGAAACAGTTTAGTCACAGATCTATGTACCAGAAGAACAATTCACTTGATTCCTAATTTTTCTTGCCAAAAACTTTCTTTTACTTTTATTCAGTCTGGCAAATAATACGCAAAAGCTTAGCTTTTCCTCAGCTGTACATTACATCCCTAAATGCAGGTCCCAGGGTAATGTAATACTCTTTACAGGGAGAGCACCATCATGCCTCTGAAGAAGGCTCTCAAATCACTTTTCAAATATTAAAGTTCCCCAATACTGTTGTGAGATATTTATGATAGATGACAGTGACCTTCATTTTACCGACGAGGAATCTGAGGTGCAGAAAATTCAAAAAACTTGGCCAAGAAAACAAAATGAGATACTGGGGGAGAAAAGAACAYGGAGTCATTGATTTTTCAGTCCTGTGTGTTAACAGCTAGGAAACGCTCCTGAGAATAGGGAAGAAAACAGGGGGGAAGTGGGAATAAGAAACTAGAGGTGTTGTATGTAAGAATTAAGATTCATTGGTAGAGTGGTGTATGACATGTTAGGGAAGATCACAGTAGCTTCCAGATGCAATACACCCACAGAGGGAGAGATCTTCAGCCTGACAGGGCAAGCTCTCAAATGAAATGTCAGCCATTGCATGTAAATGAGGATTTGAGWTCTATGAGTTTGGACATCTCCAAAAAATTTATACCCGTGACCAAGTAACACTGGCTGCTGCTCAGTATCTGATCAGCTGAAGAAATCTCTAGAGGCAAGTGTGAATGATTGTGCTGCGGGATAGAAATGGGGCAGAACTGAATGTGCTGGGGAGACAGCCCCGTGCATCTTGGCTATCCCGCTGCCTTCATTAAGAGTACAAAATCATCCATCAAAACTGATCCTATGGAAGTTACTTCTGAAGGAGAATCAGGAAGCTAGACTACTACATTACCTGCAAACTCATTTAAAAATATGTGTTTCTAAACCAAAACATCTTGCTTGCAGTGGAGGGTTTCCAAAATATTCAGCACTGGCCTAAAATAGTTTATTCTGCAACTAACAACAACAATTTTTCAATTCAGTGGGAGCACAACTTGTCTAAAGCYGTGCCTTTAGGACAATCCCACATACTTTATTTTTTATCAAATTTTCCTCTTAGTTTCTAATAAGTCACATCCTTCACTATTTTTTTTAACAAAAGAAGCAGCCAAAATTCAAACATTGAAAATAACAAACAAAAAATAACATTGATCTAATTCCTTCATTTATATACATAAATATTTAAATGGAAAGTGCAATACATCACCATTCTGTTCTTGTGTGTACTGTTTTTTTTGGTTTTGTTTTTTTTTTTTTTTTTTTTTTTAAAGGTGGCTTCAATGTTCTTTTGGTAAAAAAAACCAGTTATTTTATCACACACAGGTAACCTATGWGAGGATGAAGTTACAAATCACTGCTTGTCACAAAATCAGGCTGCACAAAATTTCTTTTGGAAAATGTGCCACACAGAGTTGGATACTGAATGTGAGACTGAAAAACACAAATGAAACAAAATAAGAATTCCCAAACTTTAGAGATTATAAATTTGGAGAGCCAAAATGCATCCAAAATACACAATACAGCCAGACAGACTGTTTGGATTAAGTAGGCACGTTTTAAGACATATAATCCTGATGGATCATGCTCTTTAGGCCAGATCTGTTTATAGCTATGGTCCCAACAATTTGTAACACTTGGTTGTGTCAGGCTTTTGAAAAATTGCTGCTCAGGCCACAGACTGAGTGAGCTTGTTTGGGTGCCCATGTTATAAGGTGCTAACATTAGAAATGCCCATGCTTCATGTCAGGTATCTCTTGGATCACTTTATTACCCTTTCCTTGGAATATGGAAGTTGAAAGCAGGCAGCCTTGTGGCAGAGAGAGAAATAAAGACAACTGCAAAACTGTGTTGTTTTTATTTTAAACATGCAAAATACAGTTCATGCATCTGCCATTTTGAAAAATCTCTCAGTTCATAGCAGATTAAACCAAAGACATTTTGGCTATCGACTCTCCATAAATATTTCAAAATGCTTTACAGTGTAAATATAAGAAATTTAGCAAAATTTCAACAAACCTGTATAAAAACCAGATACAGATAACTTTTTATTTCAAGGCAACATGCTGTAATGTAAAGAGTTCACTTTTTTTTTAATGGATTTTTTTCCCTCATAAAAAGTTTTCAACAATACAACTSCTTAACAGATTTAAGCCTTTAGGCTACACATGCAAAAAAAAAAAAGAGGTTATTTTAGTTAAAAATCACCAAAACGTGCTATTTTTTTGTTTCATTTTGTAAATACAGTAGTTGTAGACAGTAGCATTTTTCTTTTTTTAGATCTTGTAAAAGAGTGCAGGCAGGTTCATGGAGCTAGTGTCCTGGAAGACTCGTACTCTGACATACATTTTGGTTTTATCCCTTTACCATTGTAATAGTCCACAACTTGGTTTGGAACTTCAGCCAAAACGCTTTTTGCTAGAGCAGCTGGGGATGCCTGCAGGAAATGGTAGAAAACACAAGCGTTAACCTGGCTCTCTGCTAGAAGTGCCATCCATGGGTTTTAGAGGCATTGGTGCTATGAAATCAAGGGACGAGGAATGGTACAGAAATGGAAGGCAAAAAAAGACTCAAAGTGAATCACACCACTGCTGGAAAATAATTTTATGAGTCAGTTTAGGAACAAAGCTGTAGCTGCCTCAAGGTATCCTACAACCAAAAGTGCTCTGCGTGACTTCAGGTCCATTTGGACTATTTTAAGTTCAGGGTTACGGCACTTCCCTGCACTCTGGGGGAGCACCATATCACAATAAAAAGCTSCAAAGATCTCATTCATCAGTGTTCAGTAAGGAACCCTGCAGAGCTTCAAGCTGCACATGAATGGACAACAATGTGAAAGAGAGGCCTTCATYACCATTCTGCTCTTTGGAATGTGGTATGTGTGGTGTTTTAATGGCTGGGATAGTTTTTAATTCAATAAAAACACTTTTAAAAAATTCWAATTAAACCATGCTTACAAGAAAGCTTCAATCCTACACTTAGAGAAGGCTTTAAAGATCATCCTGCAAGGTGAAAATGGAAGGTGTCAACCAGACTTTACAACTGATGGTCCTGAAAAGTAGAGGTGTATGTAGAGATGGCCACTGGCTTTCACCCCAGGCAGGGAGATGAGTTCCCCTTTAGTGCAGTGACAAACCMTGCCCTCCACTGAAGGCACAGAGTTGCTGCCTCACACCCCAACAATGCTTCATTTGAACCAGAGGGGCATGCAGATATTTTGTGGACAGCCATAAAATGGATATTCCTCAGTTCCTGAATTCAACAGTGGACTCCTGTTGTCCCGTGCATCCTCTTGCCCTATGTTTTGGACTTTCTTGTTTCTAAGTGTTAGAGCTGGTTCCAAGCCCTCTGGAGCCAGCCTGCTTGGCCATGTTCCCTGTGAGCCCACTGCAAAAATRCAGTAAAAATGCAAACACTTAAATGTAATTTTGAGAGGTTTAAATTGGTGTGTATATCTCCAGAGAGTGCAGGTTGTGGCTCAGATCATGCATGGGAACTCAACCAGTTGCTGGATCACAGTTCTTCTGCACACCAAGTACTTTTTCCCAAATTAATGAATGCTTTCCTCCTCACTGTCTGTTKTGTTATCAGCCAAGTTTCAAAACTACCTGTCACAAAGAAGTTGTATTGACTGTTTATTGACTTATTCTGTTTCGTGGGGTGACATCCTTATCCTTACAGAGTCTTAAAATTAGGTTTACATTGAATACAAATGCTAAACTATTTGTAGGCATGCTAATCCAATGGTGCAGAAAGCCCCAGGCTATTACAAATTCCAGTATCAAATGTTACATTACTGCAAATACAAAGATAATGYTAGCAAAATCAGAAACAGAAGTTTTTTGGGGCTTTTTTTTAATATTTTGACTCATGTATGGGATTAGTACCAAATGAAATGAGTTGCTATTTCCCTACTGTGAMATTCATACCAAAATATTTGTGCAGATAAAAAAGCCTTTAACATTTCTGCATGAACAAACTGGTAAAGCATGGAGCATACTTTGTGTGACAGTGCGGAAACTGTTCTCAGGTATTGGTGAGTAACAGTAACAGAACCTATTTATTTTAATCCTGAAAGGTGAAATGCATGGTTTTTCAGAATTGCCCTATTCTAGCCTAAYCCTGTTTTATARAATCAWGGAATGRTTTGGATTGGAAGGGACCTTAAAATTCATCAAGTTCCARCTAAAACAATCAKAAAATACCCCTRGGAATCACACAAATGGCTGATTTCTACAACGTTGTTGAAAAAAACTGTTTTTTAAATCTCCTTCCCAGTGTGTCAAAGCTGTACATACTTTAGTCTGCCTCTGTGCTATCTTAAAAAAAAACAGCCCTACATACAGTATAAAAACAGGGACTGGGGCAGAGCTCTGGGCCAATCACAAGCCATAGCAATCAGGAAACCTCACTCTGCTCTGTCTTTAAAAATGCTGGGCAGGAGCACTGGCCATCAGCTTCCCTGGATCACGTGTGGTTCWCATGCCTGAACACTGGGCCAACGCTCCCTTCTGTGCAGCCTCCTCCCTCTGCCACTTCTCCCATCTGACACCACGTCCATTCCTCCTGAACAAGGGTCCAGCCCCTCAGAATAGGGTCTGTCAGGGCTCACATGCAGAATCACTGCCACTTGAGGAGTCCTCAACAGGAAAGATTTTCATTGAGCTTTAAGCTAAAACATTTACTGTGCCCACAGGCTCATAGGCAATATGGGGACCCCACACAGAGCTGCCCTGGGGTAGCTGTYGTGTTTCAGTCTGAGCATGGAAAAATGTTGCTTTACTGAGCTCCRTCATGCCAGTGATGTCTCTTGGTCCTGGGGCCCTTTCTGGCCAGGAATATCCCAAAAACGGGGTTGGGGTTGGCTTCCTCTCTGATGAGTTGAACCACCTGTACCCTACATACCTTCTGTGGTGGTAAAACACTCTCACTTCTAGATCAGATGGTGCAAAGCAGCATTTTTATCAGTAAGAACAACATTCAGTAATTTCTAAGTTAAACCCAGACCCACTTCATCAGTGTTGTGTAAGAATTGCCTTTGCTGGTTCTTTAACACTAATGGGACATTGCATAAATGTTTTACTGTAACATTTTCTCCACTGCTTGAATAGCATCCTAGCAATAAGCACCTCAAGATGAATAGTCCTCAACTGATASCTAATACACAACAATCAGATCAGTCAGCAGCAGGAAAATAATCCCCTATGATTCCAAAATTGGTATGTATTACAAATGACTGTTGGTTCAGTTCTGTAGCTTCACAATGCTTAACCTTTAATTACAATGCAGAGTGCAAAACATTGCTCCTTGCAGTGGTTATGAGCTGTGCTTTCCACGCTCTGTTGTGATGTATGTGTTATTGAGTCACAGCTGTTAACCTTTATGATTAAATACAGTGCAGAAAGGAATACAATCTCCCTGTGGCATCAGATTTGTGCCCAGTAAATATATCATACATCCCAAAGGCAGAGAATTTCATGTCTTAAAATATGACTGTGAATGGRTTGAGGTAGGTGATTTTCTTCAGCTACGTTTCAGTGATGGAGCATCACTGTTCTACAGTTTCAGGTGAAGGACACTTACATTACTTGGGTGGTAATGATTATAGAGAGGAAAAAAATCACTTGSGTTCAGAGAAAAGATGTTTCCTTTGTTTGTTATGTTCCCCTTTAGTGAATGGCACGTCACCCACTATATAATGGGACATTTTTTAAGTGTTAATGATTATCTTGATTTTATCAAGCCTCAACAACTACAGGACTTACCAAGAGTCTCTACTGTTGATATTATTATTTTGATTTCTTCAAARATATTCTTTAATGAGAGACAGAAGAGTTTAGATGTTTTACTGAAGTGATTCTGATATTCTGTATCATGTAGAAGATTAAACCCTTACAACAGAGCCTGCTGTCTACACTGRGTCTTAAGCCAATAGAACATTGAAGTGGGTATGAGATTTTAGGTATGTGAACAATAATTGAAATGTGTTAAATGCCTGTAATGAGTGCTGTGCAGGCTGAGAACCGTCTCTGAAGTCAAACTTTTAAAATAAAAGGGATTCATTCTACAGGATGTTTTTACAACTTCCTTCTCCCCCCGCTTCCATTTTCTCTCAGGGGAAGGTTTTGCACAGGTTATTTCGGATCTCTTTGGGTAGATATGAGATTTGGAGTTCCAAACTGACCTGAGACTAAAAGTAATGAAAAAAAATATTGCTTGGGTTGACTCTAAGGGAATTTTGGTTTACTCTTCCAGCAAAACAAAAAATAAATGCTCATACATAACATTTTCTTCTCTCCTTTTGTCATTAATAGAGATAATATGGATTTAGGAATCAATAAATTTTTGATTTATCAGAAAAGCCTATAAAATTTACACAATTTGATTAGTAATCTTTCTAAAAAGATTCTTCAACTCTTTTTCTACTTAATAAATTATCACAAGTTACATTGACAAAAGGAATGAGATTTTTACCTAAATATATATTTTCCTTAAAGGTGTCCAAAGTAATATGTTGATGTATGTAAATTCTTGTGTTTGATCTGACAAAAATCTTCCAAATGTGCTAAATCTGCATTTCCTCTGTGGGGAAAAATATGTTTGAATCAAAACATCACACTCATTTTTCCCATGCCAACTTATTTTGCTAGTTGATGCATGGTCTTTTGTTTGTGCTAAGTAAGCAGGGTAGCAGTGAATGTCACTTTGTTGAGAGAGAGAGAGAGATTATTTGGGATATGACAATGAAGAAATTCAATCAGAAGTGGCTATTTTTATGAGCACTCATCCATTACACTGACATTTGTTGAAAAGCTGAAAGATCACAATAAACAGATTAAATATCATGTTGCATAAGATATATTGACTTTTCTGATAGAGCAAATACAAATCTATCTCTATACCTACATTATCTTTGCTACTGAAAGAGGGAGAAAAATATTACTATTTAACAAGAAAAATACATTGAGATTAACTTCSCCGGTACTGGAAGAGGAAAGCAATCTAAATCAGCTGAAAAGAATATATGCTTGTCATTTGACTGTGCTGGCAATAACAATGCCACAGATTCTGTCACAAGTTAACACCAGGGGCACAATATATTTAGAGCCCAGAACTGCAACTGTCACCGTCAATCTATTCAATCCAGGATGATTTTAGCTTTATTGTAAAATACAAACTGAAACTAAAAATAACAAATGTAGCTGGCTTTGCCAGCTCCTTGCAGAAATGTGTTTTCACCTAATTAAAAGTAGCTTTCCTGCTAGCCTATAAATAACTCARCTCTGGGCATTTTTAGGATACATTACAGTGCAGCACTACGCGCTTGTGATTATGTGCTGAAGGAATCACAAGCTATGAGCTGTTTGTGCTCATACTTTTCAGCAGGTAGGTGATTGTGGCACTGTCAGCACAGAAATGTGTGTGTCTCCAGCTCAGTAGTCAATCTGCAGCTATTTGGCATGGTGTCACAGAACTGAGAGCGCAAGGTGAGCTTTCCCTCCTGTGTGCATCTATGTTTAAATAAAGGGAGTGGGAAAAGTGGAAAAAGTTTGTTTCTCTTGCTCCTCAGTAGAGTTTGTGAAAGTAAGAAGAGTGTCTAGATCTAAGCAAATATGGCAAAGCTGCATTTTGAAGTGAGAAAAAATAACAACTCTTGCAAAGAGTAAAAGGAAGGTGTTTTGGAAGTAGCAAACACAAAAAAAAAGCTCTTGTGGTGACAAGATTTTTTAGTTTTTTTGTGGTGACAAAAAGCTCAGAAAAACTAAGGAAATGTAAGCAATGTGAACCCATATGCAGATCAAAACCAGCCCAGAGCTGAGAACTTTGCTGTGATATATTCAAATCTAAGGATCAGTAGCGTATTGGAGCAGACTGAAAAGAGCAATCTCATAGGGAGAATGAGTCAATTGCACTGTGAGGTAAAGAAATTCTCAAACCAAATACTGAGGATATCCTTCCTAGACAGAGTGAAAAAAGCAGTCTGGAGACCCATGTATAAGTAATAGAAGTGAGAGGAAAGAAGAGAGAGGAATATGGAAAAATGGAAGGAAAGGGATGTAATCAGCACTGCAGAGGAAGTTAATGCATGCTGCCATATGGAGGAAAAGGGCTCTGAAAAATCCATTTGTATGTGGGAAAGCCCCTTCTGCTGGTGAATGCTGTCCCCATCCTGCTGCTGAAAAGCCGCTGGAACAGATAATGCAATGCAGGGCAGGTGACTGAGAAGAAAAGTATATGACCAAAGCTTTACTTTAGATTTGGCAATTTAATGCTGGTTCTGTTCCTTTCTTTCCCCCAGACTGTCTCCTACACCACCCTCAGTCAGGAACAGCTGTCTGAGGGCAGAGGGAAGCTCTCAGTAATGCCACTTTCTTGGCTTGTTCTTGTGCAGAATTAGGAAAGGATTTGGAGGCAGCCAGGATGCTGTGGGTGGATAGTCCTGGATTTGAGAACTCAAGGACCTAACTTCAATAAAGAAACAGCCTCCCGGGGAACACTGTGAGGACAAATTAACAACCTTTTCATCTGCCTGTGGAAATGAAGGAATGGAAAGCAGAATACAGTAATTCTAATGCAAAAGAGAATGGAAAAGACACACCATGAAATGAAAAATTAGTCAGGAAGGGTAACAAAACTAAAATCAGAGAGACACTGGAAGCCAGGATTGGCACCACAAAAAGCACATGGATTTTGCCTCATCTCTTCTTTCCCCACCCTCACCAGCTCACGAATGGAGCACATTTCATTCTGATTCTGTTTTTTCACTATTTCTGACACAATAATGCCATAGACTTACTCAACACTTCACGCATGTGMAAAGTTAAGCCCAGCCCCATGAATCATTCAGTAAATCTTCCRTACATTCACCCTTCTGTGGCAAAGATGGAAAAATCAGCTTACATGTTTGAAGTTCCTGAATGGCACAAACTGGACAATGTCTCGAAGCACAGGCTCGCCCTTGGGAGACCTCAGGATGCCATCATCACCATCCAGCATCTGCATGTCACTAAAATCAGCGTTGCCCACCCCGACGATGATGACGGACATGGGCAGGTGAGAGGCGTGGACGATGGCCTCTCTGGTGTCRGCCATGTCTGTGATGACGCCGTCCGTCAGGATCAGCAAGATGAAATATTGCTGGAGTTGTCAGACAAGCAAAAATGTATATTATTAGTTAATATTCCRAAGCTGCTTAACATTTCCCCTTAGAGTGAGTTTCTGGTAACTCACTCATGGACCTTTTTAAAGAGAAAAAAGCCTTTATATTGACTGCATAGAATTTTCCATCCCAAGCTCTTCAGCTACTAATTTCTCCTCTTCTGGAGTTTAGCTCTGGTTCAGGGAATTTCCAGGAGCTGGAAAGAGCCAAAGGAGGCCCAGTGTAGAAAAAGGGGTATGTAGCTGCTTGGGATGAGTCAGATCTTGGGCTGGGAAGTCTGGAATAGTCCTGAGATGTTCACTAGCCCTATATTTCACCTGCTGCACAATCACTGCTGACAGTTTCCAATTACACTTCTTCCCCTTGGGAATGAGTGGGAGGCAGGGAGGAATGGGGTGCTGAAGTGTTACAGGGCTGTAGCAGAGCTGTCAGGGGKTATGACAGCGCTCTGCTGAGGAGCTTTGCTCACAGGCAAGAGGGGTGGGGGCAGCTGGGGTGCAGCAAGATGGGGGGTGACCCACTGCTGCCTGTGGGGGAAACACTGCACTGTGGCAGGTCTGCTGTGCTCTGCAGTGTGATGGGGTCCTTAAGGAGAGCAAGGAAGGATTGTATCCATCTGCATACAGAGCCCCAAAGAGAGGTTTTCTTATTCTCTGGAGGAGAGCAAGCATTTCTTTCCCAAAACTCCAAAGCCCATTGAACTGAGATCATGGGCTAAGACCTACCTTCACTTGGCAATAGTGAAGAGCGGCCCTTACTTGGACCCTTTATGAACTGTTAGGCAGTTGTAGTCATTAAACAAATGTGCATTAATAGGAAAAATGAACAAAYCACAGAATTTGGTCACTCTCCATGACCAATACCAGCACACTAAACATCAATAATGTTTATATAGATACAGCTTTATAAACTCAAAGTATTTTGATTGTCTTGTCCTGCCATGAATAAAACACAATATGGAGGGAGTAAACTTCATCTTGAAGATTCATGCTATAAATTGTTTTTCAGAGAGCAAGGAGGAAGCTTAGGTATRGAAGAACAAAGGAACTTACTCAGTATGGCATGTGAGATCAGAAGCAGCACTGGGAACATAGTGAGCCACCTCAGGATTGGGTGGATATGGAAATTCAAACATAGCAATTCCCCATTTTGGGACTGGGACCCTAAATACTATCAAGATTCTGGAAACAACAGTGGAATAACAATCATAGAATCATAGAATGGTTTGGATTAGAAGAGACCTTAAAGATCATCCAGGCTCAACAGATGATGAGGCAGGGGCACCTCCTACACGAGCATGTTGCTCAGAGCTCCATAAAACATGTCCTTGAATAATTGCAGGGATGGGGTATCCACAGCTTCTCTGGGCATCCTGTTCCAGTGCCTCATCACTCTCACAGTAAAGAATATTTTTCTAATATCTAATCTAAAGTTGCCCTCTTTCRGTTTGAAGCCATTAYCTCTTGTTCTGTCACTACAAGCCCATTTCATGAACAGAAGTATTTGGAAACTGCTGCCCTAATAGGACTTAAAAAAGGTGCAACACATGAAGAAAGCTTAGGGAAAGCTCTAAGCCTGGTGATGAGATGCATGCCAGTGCACAGCTCCATTCTGTTCTATACATAGGCGCTTCTCTTGCTGTAGTATACAATTTCTCTCTTACATCCTTTACTTGCACAGCACTACTCTTGTAAATGGTTCAGACTTGCTTGCTCATATATTCCCTCCAATTGTCTTGTTCTCCATTTCTCCCATTCTCCCATTCCACCTTCTAGGCAGGATCAAAATAACCCTAATGCATCTCAAAGATATACATTTTAAACATGTGTAAGCTTTTTAGCCCAAGAAATCTGTCCTGGGATTTGTATCAGGTGCAGGCTAACARACTTGTCCTCTGATTTCTAAAAGACACAAGTTACTTCAGCAATAACAAGCTGAAAATTGCACCCTTACAGTTTTCAAATCAARGGTTGGAAAAATCTCCTTGGTGAAMAGRAAAATTTTAGTACATCCTCTGAAGGAGACTTAAAATAGGGTGTTCTCTGTAGGGAATGATTTGAACTCATCTCCTGGTAGAACCAAGAATTTTAGGGATTGGACCCTCAATTTCTGTAACCCTAGTAGTGCCATTTCTACTTCCACAGTGAAGAACTGGGTGTGCTTCAGTAAAACAGCTCTAAAAGCAGGAAACAGATCAGTGGGGGAGGAGTTTAAAGTTGTGGCCATCTAAGCTATAAAGACTGTTCCATCTGACACAGTTTTTAGCTGCATTCTGTGAAGGCAGTTAATAAAAACTGTGAAGGCACAATCTGCATGAAAAGGCCTTGTTTTGATGGCCTCCAAGAGATCCATCATAAGATAAGAAAGAAGGCAAACACAGCTTTTTTCCCTTACCGAGGCCTCCTTGGTGTTGGTCTCCTCTGATGCAGATTTTGCCACTTTCTGGATGATGGGAGCAATGTTTGTTGGTCCGTACAGCTGCAGTTTGGGAAGGCAGCTCTGATAAGCTTCCACAACCCCTTGKATTCCTGGCATGAAAAACCACACAAAAGGAAAATAAATGCAGAGTGCATTGATAATATCAGGCTGGTTTAAAATGTAAACGAAAGGTGGGTTCTTAATGAACAAATAAAAAATATTACATGATTAGCAAGAACTAGCAACTTCAGGTAATTCCCAGGAAGCAGTCTGTAGCTGCCTTGAATCCAGCTTGTAATACGTAATTCATTATACCATGCTTCTCCTTCCCAGCAGGTTATAATATCTATTTTTCAGGTATGAGCTGCAATGTCATAGTTTCCATCCTTCTCTGTTCAAGATGTGACGACTTCCTGATCACCAACTAAGATTCATGCTGAAAGGCTAGACAAATATTAAGAAACACTTCAACACTTTTTTCTCCTCTTAAGGTAAATATCTTTGTTTATCATGGCAGTTGCCAACAAATTCATCCTTTGTACCGATGCCCTAAAGCTGTTAAGGAATGCAAACATCTTTTCAAATACCTGATTCCCCTGTGCTAAGAAAATAATTTTTCAGGGTTAATTTGCATAACTACTCTCAGGTAGAATTTGACTATGACCAAAAGCTGTGAAATCTTGGAAGAAGCAGCAGGATGCTTGGCAGCCTACAGAAGAAAAATGAGCTTTAGCTGAGAAATTTTGATGGAGAGCTAGCTATTTTTGGCTTTTTCATTTCAGGATATATAGTCAGACCAGGGAGCAAAGACTTCTGCTGACACACTTGACAGATCACAGGATGGAAATTGGTATTTTCAATCATTGAGAAGAAGGATTTCTTCAAGTGATGCACGTTAGCTCCCACATTCAGAACTCCCAGTTTACCAGACCTAAAGGATTAGMGGTCTAATGTTGGAAAGAAAGCAATAGACTGAAAAGCTTTACAAAGGATGCTGAAGAATGAAATTACTTCACTAAGATCCTAAGCCAGGTTCAGTTTGCACTGAGACTGGCTCACCCATGAGATTTTTTACTCAACCATACTTACAGGATAGATGGGTGCAGGCTGGTTACTAACAAATTAAAGGGAGTTGTAATTGTTTTATGATGATACACAAGCACTCCTAAGAAAAAGTGGTGGAGAACACAGTTTTCTGTCTTTATAGACAGCTGTAGATATATTTTTCCACTGAACTGCCAACAGACAAAAGAACTTGCTCCTATTGTAGCTGTGATTGGCTGAAATGTAAAGTAATGTTACAAAATTTCCCTTGGTAATTCCAGCGGCTAAATTACAAAATATTGCAAAACTGACCTTTTGTTAACTCCCAGTTTTAAACTTGCTAAGGATTTCATTACATATCATTAATGACCTTGCAAGAAGGCCTCATAAATCTTCCCTAAGATGATGACAAGATGCACTGTAATTTTTTTCTTACACAGTAAAATAGTATAAGATAAACCTTACTCCCTGTATTCCACAGAGATTTAGTGTTTTTCTTGTCAGAAAACTGTTCTCATCTTAGAATGAGACATGTTCTAGAAACATAATTTCTTATTTGCTATCTCAGATTAATATATTTTAAAAATATCTACAGTCCGTCCAATTCCAACTCAACAGAATATGTGAGTGGATTACTTTGCAGTTTACTTTTCTTGTATTTCTTTATTTTAGGCAGAGTCTATGCGCATTTTTTTCACATTTCAACTCTTAACATTTTTTTGGAATTCACTGTCAGCTTTCCAATGAAATACAGTGTACACATAAATATATCAKCTTAAGAGAGCTGTGCAGGAACCTTCATTCAGACTAGAAGTTGTTGCCTAMTTTCTTCCTCAGATAATAAACTAAGTATTAATTATAAGACTATAAAATAATATACTATAAATGTAATAAATGTAGACTATAGATACAATTTTCAAGAATGTAAATGGTAATAGGTGAGGTTATCCATGTATTATGAACTCCAGTGCTCTTCATCTCAATATATAATCCCTGTATGTAGAGTGATGCTTCACACTACCTTGTGCCAGCAAAAGCTCTGCTTCCACAGAGAAAATTATTTCATTCCTCAAAGGCAAAATAAACACATACTTTTTATATCGCATACGACTGCCATTTCTTTGTTTAAAACAAGATACTCCTAAGCAATTTTACTTTATTTTCCGGCAATGCTAGATATTACTAGGAAAAATAATGTAGTCATTAAGCATTTTAGCTTCTCCTCAGTCTTGCATCCTTTCTCCACGTGACATGCTGACAYTGTCACTGTCACTGTTCCCTGTGACACCTAAGACAGTGAGAGCATCTAGAAAACATCACAGAACAATTGGTAGTAGAGGAACTAATCAAGCACCCATGACAGGCAGACGAGCAAGCTGCAGCAGATGATTAAACAATGTATTTTCTGGTTTGTCTCCTTTTCTTGCTTTCACCCAGGTGGATATTATTTTAAAAGTTATCATTTAAGACAAACAAGTGCTTTTTATTTCTTGCAGATTCATATGCAAATGCTRCAAAATTTCTTCTCTGGCCTTCTTTCATCCTGCAACCATCTTTTTATGTTTTCTTAGGACTAGAACTCCTTTCAGGTAATGGGCTAAATTATCAGATAACTGAGTCTTATGAGAAGATATGGATAAAGTTGAAATTATTAAGTGACACAAGACAAGCCTTATAGAGCAGCTCKTTCCCTTTTCTTTTTAACCCCCTTGCATTTCCATTGTTACATTTAATTTTGCTTACAGAGTGTGGTTTGGATAAYAAATCCCTTGCTTGCAAAGGGTTTGTCTGTTCAAACTCTGCTGCTGGCACTACCTAAATGTGTGGCGGACTTTTCAATCAATATAAATCATATAGCAATGCCAGGGTGATAAAGGAATTAGCCTTGAACTCAAAAGAAGCAGCAAAGYGGGGAGTGAAAATAAGTGTTCTTTGCATGGACTGACAGAGCTTTTCTCTGTACTTTGCAGAGGATCACAAATATCATGCATTTAGATTGAGAAACAAAGCTCTCTTTGAACACTACACGCATAGTGTTCAACCCACAACGATATGTTATCACCTATTACTGGCCACTGTTAACTGTTTTAATAGACCATTTTAAAATATGATGGTCCAGACAGAATTCTGAGAKCTGTTTTGCTTCCCCACCCCATTTCCACACTGTCAGTCTCAATGTCAAGCTTCCAGGCACTTCTAGATGTATACATGCAACTTCTGCTTCTTTGGACTCCCTAAAAGCAACACAAAAAGCTGTGTGAACACATCAAGCAGCTGTAGGACTTATGCCCAATTGCATTTCAAGCACATGACCTGCAAAGAATGGGGCAGCCCAACAATTCAAGTGCAAAAACAAAGTGGGAATGCCTGCTGAACCAAAAACAGGTCTTTCATTTAAGATGCGTGAACTCAATTCTTTCAGTGTCTCTCTCCCTTGAATTGCTTGTCCTCTCTTCTTTTCCTCACTTCATTTCTTTGCATCTTAGTTCTCATCCTGAGCATATTTGCTGCCCTTGTCTGAAAGAAAGCCTGAGAAGGGCAGAGAGGAGCAGCTAGAAAATTTGAACAGGAAGAGCATTTTGAAATATCCAGTTCAGTACTTGGATATAAGCAGAAGGATAAGGAGAATACCAACCTGTGGATTTTAGACATCAATGATCACCCGACCAAGACTCTTAACTGTTGCTCTGTTCAGAGATTATTTTCCTGGTATTGTTTTTTACAAAATGTGTGAATTTTGGCAGGAGATTTTAGAAAGACAGCATCAGTCATTGCGGACCTCACTTACAAATACAAGGCATAGAGCAGCATCTGCTACATGAATCTGGCCTCTGATTACTGAGGATTAATGATTGTTCATAGAACACACCAATATCTTACACTGTGTTAAAACAGCTTCCTGCTGCATTTGCTCTCGGAAAAGTGGGTTTCTTTCTACCACAGCAGTCGTGAGCTGCTTCCCTGCCCTTGACTTGCAGCAGGAAACTATTGCTATAGGTCTGGTCAAAGAACTGGCTCTAAACTRARGGAATTTTTGATCACAGAAGTTCAMAGTCTGCTTTTTGATATCCTGCCCTTCTTAGCTGTGCAACCTATGATGTTGAGGTAGCTGGAAGAAGAAGATTTTGAATTAGTCCAAGAGACACAGCTTTAGCTGTCAGAAATGTGGGTGATTTCAGGAAGTCCAAAGCTGAAGGTCCAAGGGACATACCTTTCAGGAAATTAATGTATGGCACTTTTCAAGATTTCTAAAGCTAACCTTGATGGCTCGGAGCCTGTCAGGTCCCAAAATCCTAGCTGCCTAGTTTAAAAAAAAACCACTTAAAAAAACCCCCACTTCAAATAATATTCAGGTGCTACAATAAAAAAATACAATCATATTTTGCATACAGTAGCACTATGGCAGTCTGTCCTAATGTTAATGTTACCTGCACATTCTGGGTTGTCTTCATTGAAATTGATTGCAAAGTCATGAGAGACCTGCAGATAAATGGAAAGAAAAGAAGACTGTTGTCAGAAAAATTATTCCAAGAAGACTTGTGGTTAAACACTCTGGACATTTTTTCTCTGGTAAACCTGAGACCTTTCAAGTTTTCAGCCATTAAGTATGAAATACAGTCCCAGTTGGAGCTCCCTGCAGAAACAAAGTAGCAAAACTGGAATAAAACTTGTCAGTAACAGCTGAAAAACCTAAGAAAAAAAAATAGCACAAAGAAAACCACCCAAGTACATAAAAAATAATATAAATATGGTGTCAGGATTGGGCTATCAATTCTGGGCACAGAAGAGGAATCTGTTGCTGAGGAAATTTAAATGCCAGCTCTCCCTAGCTCAGCATCTCAGACTGCAGGACAGAGGAAGCAGGTTGTGATAAAGCACTGACAGCAGAAAYTCAGCTCACTTCTACATCCTGACCTCACTGCGTGACCAGCTCCTCACCATAGACAGGACTACTGGGAAAATAATTCTCCAGAGAAATCAAGGATCCACTGTGGAACAGGGGTGTAAGAAATATAAGGAGTCTACATTGGTTAAAAAGTTAGATTATTCTGGGGGGCAATAAATTAAAAAAAACCAAAACAACAAAACCTGAAGAATCTTGCTTTTCCTCCATGTAGTAAATATGCCAATCTCTATCTCTATCAATCTTTTATCAAACCCTACAGAGCTGTTTTTAAAAAAAATATCACTGTGAATACAGCAAAGTTACTGTCTTTTTAACAAAACAAAGTGTTTTGTCTTTGGTGCCCTGGGAAAATAATACAAGACTTTTGTATACCTAAATAATGTGAGGCACTGTGAGTCTCAGGTTCCAGAATTCCTCTTTAAGGTTTATTCTTGCCTTCATTTGTTTTTTTCTGGATGAATTTTTTATTTCTTTCTTTAATCACTGAAAAATCCTTTTAATCTCTTTGGCTCTGAAGCCCAGCCTCTTAATTCTGTTTGTCTTAATTTTTCTTGAATGAAAAAACACAGATTTTGTCTCGCAATGCATAATGCGTGAATATATAGACATATATAGACATATATATTTGGCTTGCAAAAAGTGGCTATAGTTGAGAGTTTAGCAGGTAATTTGCATAGGTGAAAGTTGAATTGAGGTATATCATCCCAGAATTAAGAAGGCATATAGCTAACTGCAATTACACACATTTAAAGCTCAATAGATCTCTGTAGGATCTTCAAAAGGGCCACCAATTSTAGTGATAATGGAAAGCAACCTGTTTACTCCCTGTACCATGGAACTGGGATTATTTGCAGGAAGAGATTGCTGGATGTTACTGTTTCCTTTGCTAGTTTAGATGACTTGACAACACAGTATGGAAATAGATCTATGTCTCAGGGACCCATGGATTATACATGTGATGCAGGGAAGGTTCTGTGAAAGTGAAGTGATGCGAGTTGGCTAGTTACTGCCAAATAGAGTTTTTTCACAAAGAAACTGACTTTTCCCATCATATGCTAGCCTTGCTTACCACAGTGATGCCTACCATAAGTAAGAGGTTAAATAAGGCAGTACCTCTACCATGATGGGAAAGGATTGAAGCAAAATCTCATTRGGAAGTTTGCAGTCACCTCAGCCCAGCCAGGAATTCAGTTTGCCACAGCGAGCATCAGTCTTAGAGAGTGTTTTACATGGGCCATTCAGTCTGCCCTGCTTGGCCATGGAGGATGATGCAGACCGTCACTATTTATGCTCCTCACTGAGCAGCACAGAAGATCGGGGTTGCCAGATCCATTTCAGAGGTGCTCCAGAGCCCTCCTGCCTGGATGGCTTCAGTACACTTTGCCCAGCTGGTATCTGCCAGTCTCATGTCCAGCTGCAGGCCAAAGGGAATTGCATCTGTCAAGAACTGTTACAGGAGTTTTCACTCATTGATATTTTTGTTGTCGTTCAGTAGCCTGTCTTTTTTCCTTTAGGGTTTCTGTATTTTGCATCAACTACATCTCAAAAGCAAGAAGGATAACAATGCATGTTTATGTGCTGCAGACTGATTCTTCCAACATTCTGCCTCTTCAGTGATTTTATTTCTTTATTCCAAATATATTTGAAATTATACCTAAAGGAAAGTACGAATCTTTTCAAAAGCTATGAATACAGTATTTTCATCTCACATGAAAGCATGGTTTGGATGCTTTTGTTGCCATACCTCTTTCAGAGTCACATAATGCAAACAATTTATCTGGTTCAAAGCTATGGCACCCAGGCTATTATTTAAGAAAAATGTAGACAACAGTTCAGGCCGATAAGGAATGCCCAGGTCTAATTCAGTGTGCACAATGATCCAAAAAATAATACTGTCTGAGCATCGGCTGCTATCCTCCTAAAGCAAATGGCCCTCATATGTTGTCATCCTGATTTACAAAGAGCAGTGTTAAAATGTACCCTGAAGGCAGCRCAGGAAACACAATGAATGTGTAGAAGCATTGGCTTGGTTTCTATGCTCTCTGAGCAATATATCACAATYGAAACAAGATTTCAGTATAGTGTGAAGCAGAGAAGTTCTTTGAGCAGCTCAATGATGGTTCACAAATGGTAAATCATCACCCAAGGCAAGCCAACAGCAGATATTTTTAAAGCAGAGCTTCTCCAAATGCTCAGAACTCATCTCCTACTCTGTTAAGTAAAACCAACAGTGTTTCAACCTGCCCCTTTGCTGTCTCCCCTGCGGAGGCCAGAACTCAGGAGTGTCCAAACCAGCAGAGCATTGAGACTCACACCACGCACTGAAGACCTTACTGAACCCAGGCTGCTCCCTGATAGGACTAAAAAAAAGTAAAGCTCATCTATGTCAAAAGGTGGTTTGGATAAGACATTCAGTGCTTTTGCTTTCTAAACAGTGCAATCTGATGAGTTTCCCACTCTTTTTTTCTTTTTTTTTTCCCTAATTAAACATGCAAGGGCTTTGTGACTGAAGCGCAAACCATGCTGATGACAGAGAACCAAAAGTTGGTATATTAAAGGGCATTTTCTGATACTGACTGACACTGCCCTTGAATGACACTCCCAGAACTGATAAATGGCCAAAAGGAGGCTAAAGTGTGAGCTCCTAAGATGCTGAAGACTTGGAAATCCTCAGGGTGAACAACAAGACACTTGGCTGTTGAGAAGCAGGCGTGTTTTTAATTTACCAGGGTGGTTTGTGTTGGGATCGATCTAACAGTCAGGAAATCTTGGAATATGTCAAATCACATGGAACAGAATGACTGCTTCACATTAGCACCTGGCACAGAGAACTTTGCAAGGAACTGCAGGCCATGGGCTGTTGGTGAAARCCAGTTTCACATTAAGAAATGTCCTCACAAAACCCCGAGTGCCTCACGGACCCTGGATCACATCACAAATTTGAACCTGACCCTCTGCTCATCCCTCCTCTCTTAACAACAATCCATAAAATCAGTCCATAAAAGAGAAGGAGAGAGAAATGCTGGCATGCAGAGATGATTACAGGGGACCAGCCTGGTGTTACCTGGGCTCCTGCACAGAGCTGTGCTCAAAGCCTGTAGCCAAGGACCTTCACCTGCACTTGGCTGTGCATTAATCTTTTCCCCATGCAGGGTTCCAGATACATTCTTTATATCCAGATACYATCATGGAATTACTAAACCACAGCTGTCCAGGAACTTCCTACACCGGAACTTTTTATTTCCCAGGTAATTCCTTCAAGGTTTTTAAAAAGCAAAACAAGTAGCTCCACCCAAAATTATGATATAGATTACAGTGACAGCATTTTTGAGGATATGACAATTAAATAAACAGTACAGAATAATTTTGCTAAGACAGGTTCTAGAAATGTTTTTTTACCACGGTACAATGCCTCCATTGTCTGTACATACACAGTACAAACACCTGCAGCTTTCCATCAATTTGATGGCACCCATGAGACTTTTGGAAAAATTATAACCGTACTTCCACATGCTTATGACCACYTTAGTACAAAAATCACACTGATTTCACATAACAAGTAACTTGTTTTCCTCATACTGGGACATAACATGGCCCTTGCTAAAAAGGTTTCTGATTTAGGCTGAAAGGAAAGGAAAATTTTCTCTTCTAGAATTTTTGAGATTTCTTAAAAAATATTTTATGAATTCAGATAGAAACCTCAAATCACAAACAAAAACCATACCTTGGATTCTGAAAAATAATAAATACCCCAACATGCGTAAAGCAAATTGCTGGACAGCTTTTGGACTGTGCAAAGGCATTTATTTAAGCTTCATTGAAAATTGTTATTTTATTTTGGCCTTCAAATTTTTCTAACTCTTTTAAAATGAATTTCCATTTTTTAAAAAAGAAGCTATGCTTTTTATTTATTTTCAAATGCTGAATATGGATAGCTGAATTGTGAAAATTAGTAATCCTTTTTTTTTTTTTTCTCCCTCTCTATCTGGTTGGATTCATTTAAATTAATCTCCCTGTCCCAAACAAAGCTCAGCTTTCCTCTATGGTGATGGTACTAGGACTACTTGGTAAATAGTCTGACAAACTCAGACATGTTTAGGAATGCTTTTTTAATAATTTAAATAGAGATTGTCAAAAATCCATGAACAATAGTTGCATACAAGTGTAAATGCCAAAATGCACTATGTTGGACAATTATCTGTGAATAAATTGAATGTTATTATGCCACTGTCAGTCAGAGAATTAAATATGAAATGCCTGCATATTTTGCAAAAGCTTAATTTCAAATACTCTTRGTCAAAAGCTATTATTTTCAGAATGCTCATTAATCAAATAATTTGGAAGCTGGACAGCTTGTGTTTCTCGCTGAGATACATTGTACACATTTCTGCTTGGCAAAGTTGGGCCATTTATTTTCATTTATACTTCATTTTGCTGTATGCTGCCCAGTTTCCACATCTAGAACYGAGTTGCATGGATAAGGAGACAAATCCTGTTTTGTCCCTTGCTCTGTTACACATCCTTCTATTGGTTCTTTTTTTTTGGTCAGGTTTGCATCTATTTTTGCCCTCAAGCTCCTGACAAGTGCACAGTGACAGTGCACGACACTGTCAAGTCCCTTACCTGTCCAGCAAACCAATGCTGTTTAGGGTTKTAAAGATGCTGCACTGTGTGACTGCAGTGAGTTTGTCTCCACTACACGTTCACAGCAAAAGCAGGGAATGAAACTTTCACTAAAAATGCAGAAATAACCAGGACTGTCTTAAAACAAACTGCAAGTTGTTCAGTGCCTCTTCAGGTGTCAGCCTGCAATTCTCCTTTATGAAAAAGGCCTTCATTAATACACCTATCATGGGGCTGGCACAATTTGAACTTGCTTTTCATTTCAACAGCATTTGCTGCTATGTGTTTTTTCAGCTCCTTTGAGTCCTGTCTGCTAAGAAGTTGGTATGTGCCCCAGCTTTCTTTCCTCCACTGCAACCTTTCACAGCTGTCTGATTCTATATTTTCTACCACCTCTTCACTTTACATCAAACTTTTCAGATCCTTCCTCTCATTGCAAAAAAGACCCCAAACAAACAAAAAAAACTCCCAAAAAACCAACCAACCAAACTAACAAAAAAAAAAAAAAAGGCATGAGTTGTAGACACTGCTGTTGAAAAAATGGCATATTCTGCAAGTTTTGTATGATAGAAACTCACAGGGGGAATATTTCTCTTAAAGGTTTGCTTAGATCAAGGAGCGGGGCGATGTGTTTGTCAGATGTCAGTGGAAAAAGATCATATTGTCAAATATTAAATGAAAGATCTCTAGACTGATGAGGAATGATAAATATGGCATGTCTTGCTTCCTTCACTCCTACAGATTCCTTATGCCACTAAGAAACTGCTGGTTTTCTGCTAACAGCTGAAGTGTGTCATTTGGAGCTGAAATGAGGGAAAATAAAGTCAACACAACAGAGCAGTGTGCTCTTGAAATGGAAATTCTGTAGAGAACAGACATAAAAACAAGATTTAAAGGGGTACAACATGAAGAGATTCATGAAGAGACTGCAGAGATGGATACTGACATAGTTCAGGAAKGAAGCTATGCTGTTTAGATTGTTTGGTGGCTCCATTGTTACTTAGGAACCCTTGGCAGTGGGAATAATTTCTTCCATAGCCCTAGCAATTTGTTTTCTACTGAAAGAAGTAGAGGAGCAGATGCTTGAGTGCAGCGACCAACATTCTATGAGCAGGTTAGATCATTTCATTAGGACTGGAAGCTTGAAAACAGGCATTCTAAATTAATGAAAAGCTGATTTATCTACATGATGGGGTCAGAACTTAGAAGTACACAATGATTCAACCTAAATTTGAAGATGTCAATTATTACAGTAGTGGCACTACTCTCCTTTAGTAAAACAAAAGATATGTATGACTTGTAATAATGGGACTGAAAACATGCAAAGGTCATTTGAATAACACAAGATCTGCACTGTGGCTGTGGTGTCCATGGTGCTACCATATTTTTGCAGCAGGAAATAATAAGTTAAGGAAGAAATTTGGGAACACTTTTTTCCTRCAGCCTGTGTTACTTTTAATTTATCCGTTTCTTCTCTGTTTCCTATGCATTCTTTGTTATCCTCCACATCAAACACTAATCACTGTTGGCTTTGAATTAACTTTAACTAGACTAAACTACTGAAGGATTTGCAGTTTACTGCTCTTGACTTAATAATGCATCATGATGAGGCTCACTCTTCACTCTTGAAGGATGTGCCTTTCAATTCAGAAGTACAGTCAAAGCCAAGCAGAGACTCAGAAGTGTTAACAGAGTTTAAGAAGACAGATACTTTTATGGACTGTGTAGAATATCACAGGGAGGGACAGAACAACAGCACAGATGACTGTAAACTCCTCATGGAGCTCCAGCTGGATGTGCCCACGACAGGCTGATTATTTGCTGATTATTTGCTGATTATTTGCCCCTGTCTGTTGCACAGAAGGTTTAGTCCATTGCAACTTCGTTCTTGTCTTCTTCAAAGTTTTATTATGTTTGTAAGCTGATGTCATGTCATTTAGTCTTTGTCTCTTTCTGCCACAAGTTTCCATAGCAGAGAATAAAGATGTTCTGGCCTTCATTTGCACCTCCATTTACTTTGGGACTTGTTTAATTTACTCTTACATATGTAACCCACAAGCAAGTAGCACCATCTTCTGAAGTTTGCCCTTGCTTTTCCAGAACTTTTCAAAATCTGAAGGTYCTGAGCCATCCATTTTCCTCCTTTGAGAGGTTACCAACAGACAGACTCTTCAGGAGAACTTATGCTGTGGGGTAAGACTGTTCATTCATGCATGGACTACTAAGCTCAATGCAAGTCTGAGTTTCTTAAGGGAATCTGTCAAGAAATTATCCAAACATTAATTCTGCCACAGCAGAAAATCAGTTGGTGTTGGTGATTGTAGGAATACCTGGTTACACAGACCCCTCAAGTGTCTTTATGRCAAGACATCTGTTTTCCAGCTAACACCTGAAATGTGCTCTTGCAGACAGGTGAGAAGGATGTTGCTGGGGTCTTACAAAACTGGTGTGTTGCCAACATGCTCATGTAACCTGAGGTATCAATGCCACCAGCTGATTATTTTGGCTGAGAAGAGCAGTTTTGTGCTGTGAATTTTATTATACTTCTGTCACCAGGGAACCAGTGAAAAGAGTTCAGCTAGCACAGTAACACCTTCCTTTAAGCAGTCCTTAGACAAAGATGGCTCTCTGCAGCTGAAGGAATTGCAAGTTTTCCCCCAGGCTCTGATGGTCACCTCACAGGGGATGGAAAAACCAGCCCCTGGCAGAMCACCTCAAATAGCAGTGATGGTTGTAGCTGCTGCAGCTGGAACAAACATACAACAGACACAGATGTTCTGAGCTCATAACACACATTAAAATATATATCAGAGTTTTGGAAGCTGCCTCTGACTTTGGAAAGCATGAATGCCGGTGTTACACTTGAGAAACAAAGCAAGGCAAAACACCTTGTCAGGCACAGACAAGCTTAGAAAGCAATGTTGTTAAAACATGAGTTAACTTACCTTAGACATCTGTTTGCAAGAAGTATCAAGTTTGCTGTACATCACTACTGTTATTCTTCTGCAGGTATCAAACCCACAAACTGTGAGGAACACACTGGTGCATTTTTTTTTCATCTGCTCATTCATGCCTTACACAATGCTGAATGCACACAATGCCTCTCAGAAATTCTTACCTGGCTAGTGCTCGCCGTCCTACCCCAACCATAGCCCAGAGACACAATCCAGAGCAGGGCACACAGGGACACTGGATGAAGTCTGCATGATCAGATGCCTGATGCTTTTCCTTTCCAGACAGTTTCTGCAGAGTCTCCACCTAGTTTCTGGTTACTTATCTGTGCAGAGCTACTCTTCTGCCCACACTATCTCTCTGCAGGATTGGAAATTCTACTTATTTCTTCTTAGGCCTTTCTCTGTTGGATGCTGCTTCTTTTACTTCACTGTCTTYACTCCAGCCTGCCCAGATTGCATATTTATGTTCACAACTGCAGCATCACTGTGATTCACTCTCATTTTGTTTTGTTTATAAATACCACTTCTCTCCAGCATGGATTCAATGCTCCTGCATTTCTCTTCCTGGTATTGACCATGTCCACCATGACATAGAAATTTGCCACATAGCAAAACTCTTCTAAAGTCTCTATTTTCAGGAAGATGTTTGACAAGGAATGTTCAAAYTATCATTTCTCCTCTTAGCACCCACTAATAAAGCTTTGCTAATAACACAAAATATTTTGGGTGTCAAACAATTGACTTAAGTGTAGCCCTGAATTCAATGAGGTATCACTGGGTGAAAAAGCTAGATGGAAGAAAACAAGCAGTAGGAGCTGTTCCCCTTTGCCCTTGCCCTGWACTGAACCATTGCTCCCTTATTTTCTGCCTCCTAATTCAAGAGAATGAGAAAATTACACTCATGCACTTACTTTGTATTCTGGGGGTATTCTTGCTCCAAATCCAAAGGCTGGGAACATTTTGTCACTGGAATAAAATGAAAAAAAATATGAGTACCCACAGAGAAATGCATRTTGTTACAATAAACATTTATTCCTCTGTATGCATTCATGAGCAATGCAAAGCAGCACAACAACACAGAAATGGCTTTTAAGTCAAGTGATGGCAGACTGGACGGGTACTGGATTGGAAAAGTARGGTTGAGTTCTGAACAGAATGGAGGAGTGTTATGGGAGATTTTTCAGGTGAGCTCCTAGTATTTTTGGGCAGTTAAAATCACTTGGAGAATACTGAGGGATCAGGATGTCTTGTATTTCTCCCACAAATGCAATAACAAGTCTGTATTACCCAATCTTTTGCATTATCTGGCTAAAGCAAGAGGGTTTGTAACAACATTTATTTCATATAAATATGGATGCACTCACCCAGCTCAGAAAATGGCTCTAGTAAAGATATGACTCAGATTAAAAGTGTTTGCAAATTTGGGTTCTTACAGTTGTCTAGYTGTTCAAAAGGGACTTCCTAAAATATCTGAAAGGGGCAATTTCATGCTCTGAAACCTGYAAGTTCTGTAAAGCTTTCCACCTACATCTTTAGTAGTTCCACTGAAGCATGAGATTATTTTAATTAGGCATAGATTGACTGACAGCCCATCAAAATGCTGTGGCATGGTCAGTTTGATTTCAGACAGCACCGTGAGGTTATTCTACCCCAGTTAGATCTGCAAGAGAAAAAAGACCTGATTCAGAGAACCTGGAAACTTCAAGGCTGTTAATACCCTTTCAGAAAMGCAATCATGTCTCACACAGCCCACATGCTGTCAAGCTGCCTCTTCCCAGATGGCAAAGTGGAAAACAACAAGCTGCAAGGAATGTCTTGTCCCTGAGTCAGCAAAGCACTTGATCACACACTTGAGGTTAACAATTCACTCAAACATATGCTTAATTCCAGACACATCCTGAAGTCTCACTGATGTCACTGAACTGYACTCCAGTGCCCTGATGAATCAGATGAAGTTTATCCTGGTCTACTTACAGGGTTTCAGGGCCTTTGGAGAAGTTGAGTTCCAACTACCATGAGCAGCACTTTTAAAATTCCCAGAAGAGGCCAGCAGCTTCCATTTTTTTTTTTTTTTTTGGTGTAGTTCAAGACATGGCCACCCCAAGTATCACCTGAACAATTCACATCCCAGATATASTCCAAAAGGAAATAACATACATTGAAACTGCTCAGTTCTTTTGTCTTTTGGCATAGGCTGTTAAAGGCACCATATTTCTGATAAAACATAATGAAAAACTGAAGGGCTTAAAAGAAAGCAGAACTGTGACCCCTCTGCTGCATAAATCTTGGGAGCACAGTTCTGTGCACCATATGTTACACTGTATGACAGTGGAGCTTGGAAAGGAAGATGAACATCATTTGCATGGTAATGAAACATTTTTGTCCCAAGAGATGTCAGAAAGGAAGTAGCTGCTGACATTCGATGCTAACCACCTGCTGATAGCAATCTCTTTGATTAAACACTCCTGGAAGCGGGGAAAGCCCTTACAAATGGATGCAGAGAATTCAGGCACACACGTTGAGTGTGGAATAAGAAACCATTAGAAAAGAATCTGAGGGCAGAAAAAAAAATCTTGTTTTACATCTGCAATTAAGCATGCCTGGATTAGAAAACCAAACCCTGCAGAGCTGCAGTTAATTGATTTGGGGCAACAACAAACCAAGACTAAAAAAGAATTTTACTTAGAATTTTACTTAGGTAGAACTAGAGTGTCTAAGTTCAATAAAGCAATCCAAAAAGCTGATGCTGGCAGCAGTTATACAACTGGGAGATGCCTAAACCCATCCAGTGCCTGCATTTCTACTGCAACATTTCTGGAGTGTAAACAAGCGTAGGCACTCTTGTGTCTACAGCTACATCTTCTGCTCTGCAGCAATTCAGGGACAGCAATAAGTCACAGCTCCAGCAGCCTGGATTCTCCTTCTGGTGGTGTGACTCCCATATTCTGACTCCCACATTCCCAGTCACATGGTGGCTCATCCCCCACTGTTATTCTGCACCCAGAATACCTTAACTCCACAGTCAGGACACTTGTCTTGATGTTTGAACCTCCCACATCTCCTTTTTCAGTACGTGCTCGTTACTGCAACCATTATGTTGTGAGAGAGTAAAGCATGATCCAGTACACCCTCAGGATAGCGGTCCACATGGCTGCTTTTTAGAGGGAAGTGCATGAACTCTAGAGAGGAGGGGTATCCTGTGGTCTTCTCCTTTATTTTCTGTTGTCTCACCCAGAATACTCTCATTAGGTAGCTCATCAGAATTTAGGTACATACCTCTCTGGTAACCTGATTCAAGCTGCTGGGACCCAGAAATTAACTCTCATCTGCTACTGGAACTTGATTTTTAAGGTGAGAAGGGAACATTTTGACACTMATGACATCCCTTGCATAAAAAAGATCATCATGTTATCCCCTGACCACACCTCAAAAATTGCAGCTAATAGCTTTCAGCGTAAAAATAAAGTTTAAATGTATGGAATACTTTTCCTTCTATCACACAAAACCAAGTGTTTAGCYAATATAAAGCTCTCACTCTTTAGTAAGTGAGCAGTTTCATGGCTTAGTTATATTTTAMAATATAACCCCCTCTAGTATTCCCATCCAGCCCTCACTTTACCATATGAGAAAAAAACCAAACAGCTGAGCCTGCTGCCCTCATTCTGCTCGTCCTACCCTACCCAGACACAGCAGGGAAAAAGTGACCCAAAAGGGCAGACAAGAACTCTCGCACTTCCAGGATAATCCCTTATGGTACAGGGGCGTGGGAGAGCTGCTSCAGAAGACCCAGGGCTATCATTGCAGCATGCAGAAGAAAGCAGAGCAGCCTCCCAACTTCTGCCAGCTATGTCAAGGGTTAGGCCATCCAGGGACCTCAGCTACAGTCAGGAAATGAAAAGAAGGTTTTCTCCTGCCTCAGGGGTGAATTGCATGCATCAGAGACTCCAGCTCTATTTCCTAGTTTGGCATTTCAGTAGAAAGGAAAGGGATCTGCTCTAGTAACTTTTCTTCCTTTGTAATTTAAATTCACTCAAAAGGAGAAAAGTGAGAACCAGTTTTCTTTTCCTTCATATTGCTTGCTCAGACATTGGAGTGTCATTTATAGCAGGAAACAGACCCTGGCTGAAGCAGTGGGACATGGCATAGATGAGTCCTGTCACCCCTCCTTGGTGCAGTGCTGGCTCCTGCCAAGCAGCCCCCCTGAGACTCCCCAGGGACAGTGCTGGGTCCAGCTGTGCCTGACACGGCTCCCAAATGCAGCTTGGGCATCGCCMGGCTGTGCTGGGAGCAAGAAAGATGAGATCCAAGGACACGGGCATTGTCATGCCCTTGGCCTCAGGCAACCTCAGGATCTTTGAGTTGGTTTTTTTAAAGCTAGCCACAGTCCTTGGCACATGCAAGGAAACTGCCTGCACTGTCCTGCTGAGGCAGATTGCTAAAGGGAAAGGGCAGGAAAATAACATGGATCTGGAAAAAACAAAGTGGTTCTATACAACCAGAAACTTACAATATCGAGTAAGAAAAAGAGACTTGGCAGAATCTTCACAAAATTACTCCGTCATGCCTATTTCATCTTTTATATTTTCTTTGTTTTACACAGGTTCCCTTGAAAATTTGAACACGGCATAACTTTYGAAAAGCTGAAGAACTTGACTGGCAGATCAAAAAAGCAAAAGCATCAGACTTGGACTTCTATATCTGGTTATTTAAGGACCATGAGTAATCATGCAAGCACAGGTGTATGTGGCTCCTGGTACTTTYTCAGTCAAACAGGTACATATATCTGAAAGATACCCTAGACTGAGCAGATCTATGTTACACACTAAAAGAAAAATCAGGGACAGGTTCAGTGTTCATACTGATAAATGTAAATTAGTGCACAGAGAAATTACTTGTCAGGGCTCCAAGACTGCAGTCTTCTGAACAGAAATACAACCAGATAGAAAATAGTTCCTTASTAACCTCAACTATAACATACACATGGCAGAAAATAATTTCTGAAAATATCCCATACTGTTCTTTTGGGACATTGCTCAGTTTTAGTTACCCATCCTTCAAGCTATCTAGTGAAAACAGAACAAAAGCAATGACAAATCAAAACAGAGAGAAGAGAGATTTCAGTGAGCTGTACTGCACATACAGGAAGAGAGAATAATAGAGGCAATCCTAAGGTTCTGTAAATTGGTAAAAGTGATACAGATAATGGTCCTGTTTTCTATTTCACTAGGAAGCCTATTGCTACTGGGAGGAAAGAAATATACTTATTATAAAGAGACAAAAGAAAGAACATTTCAAAATCTTGTCTCATTAACCACTGCTGCCCTCTGACGTGTATGATCATTGAAACTGGGTTATTATGTTTATTCTGAAAAATGATTTGCTATTCCTAGTAATGAGAAGGAGAAAACTATTTCACTAGGTAAAATTAATTAGTCAGACATTAGAGACATTTTGYAACCCCCTCAGAAGTCTCAGGAACAGACAGATGCTTGAGATATTCACCAGCAGTCAGATATTCATACTGCAATGCCTCTATTCAAAAAGGTTGCCAGGGCTATTCTCTCTGAAAATCAGTTCCTTTTGAAAATCAAAACTTGGAATATGGGTTCTTAATTGTATGGAGAAAAAAGGTCTAAGCTATTCTATACTAATTCTGAATTTATTAACTCTGAAAGATTGAGCTTACTACCAGCTAGCTGCTTACACAGCTTGTTCAGGACTAATTTTATGGGTTACCATGAAAGCCCTTTGATGTGTAGTTTTAGTTGTGCCTAAGTTTAGTATCCTGAAGTCCATGCAGGATTTGTATGGATGCTACTTTACTGACCTTGGAGACCATCAGCATGAAAACCTGCTCACTTTATGCCAGAACAACACGGTAGCACAAACAGTACTAACAATGCAGTGAATGGGGGGAAAAGGAAAAAAACATGGATTGAGAGAGAGAAACACTAAGAGCCCATTTT